AAATTTGTTGTTTCACTTTACAATTTTATTTTCTTATTTTATACCCCTCTTATGGTGGGCTATCTAACTAACAAGGCCAAATCAAACTAATCTGTTTAGACACTGATACATTTCACTATAACTGATAACCCACTAGAATATTCTCTGTATTCATCATTTTTATAGCTATCATTATTTAGGATGATTGATTACAGGTGCCTGTGGGAGCCGTTCGACAACAACAGTGTCTACTATCGTCACGTGGTTCAAAACATCGCTGAAATATGGTTGCACTCTGGCTGACTTCCATTTAAAAAATCACATTGCCAGTCTTTGCACGCAAACGTCCAAAGATAGAAAATAGGGAGAACAATTGACATTATGTAGTTGATGGTACAGAGATTTTGAGTTTCGCTTACCAGTAGGCTTTTAGAAGCCGCTGTCGGAGTTAGCTCCTCCTTAGTTCCCTAACTATCCACTAGGGGTCACTCTCCCTATACTATAAATACTGGGAGACTTCTTACATCGTTCTCTTTTTCATTTCTTCATTTCATCGAACATTTCTACAATGTGAGCTCTCGCAAAAGACAGCGTTTCACATTTGTGGGAGACGCCATGAACATTATACACACATACACGTACGTACGAACATTCACTACGAACATTCACCAAAGAATAGACACAAATGTCCACACACACATACACATGTTTTTGTCTATGTCCATTGTAAAATTGTTTTGTTTAAAACATATTTGTTTATATATATATATATATATATATATATATATATATATATATATATATATATACACACGGTCCTCTACACCACTACGTCTCCGTGATTGCTTGCAACTGCCACTAGACCCTTAGTTTACAAATTTTGAAATTTTTATCAACCTTATACCGCTGACTTTCGCATACTGAACAAGAAAGCAACTTGTTATGTTTCACTGTCGGAGTTAGCTCCTCCTTAATTCCCAAATTGTCACTAGGGGTCGCTCTCCCTATACTATAAATACTGGGCGACTTCTCGCCTCGTTCTCTTTTTCTTCATTTCAGCGGCTACAATGTAAGCTCTCTTAGAAGATCCACATCTTCCTATTTGTGGGAGACGCCATGAACATTATACAGACATACACGTACGTACGAACACTCACCAAAGAACAAACACCAATGTTTACATACACACAAATGTTATTGTCCATTGTAAAATTGTTTTGTTTAATACATATATATGTTTATATTTATATATATATATATATATATATATATATATATATATATATATATATCGATCTTGTTTGTCTTCTTTATCTTCAAGTGGACTTAATTCAAGTCCGGCCATATTCTTGTAGTTGGACCTTTTAATATTCCAGCAGGAGTTACACACACGCAAAAGCACACAGTCCTCTGCATCACTTTCTTTTCATTCAATAGCTTTTCTACGGGTGTTTCATTCTCTTTAAACCAATGCGGGTGCCGTCTTTCTACAAAACCCAACGAAAAGAAAGCAGCCTCATGCAACTTCTGACAAAAACTTACAGATGGATCATCATTGCTTGAACTATTGATATTGTTCAAGATTTTCAGAGCAATTTACAGTGGCGTAGCTTGGGTGCACTTTTTGTCCGCGGTGAGTTTTCAGAAAAGAAAAAAAAACAACAGCATAATTTCAATAATTTTTGCAAAAACAAATACAGCTATAAGGAAGAAGATAGGGTTCAAATGAAGCCAATTTGTCTTTGATATATGGCTACCTCAAGGTCAGCCAGCCAGCAATAAAAAAAAATTGTCTCTAAAACGCGCTGTTAGCTGGTGGGGATAAACCCCACTTACAAGACATGAGCAAAAGACAAAAAGGTGTGAAAAAAATTGAACATTTTTAAAGGGTTCGATGTGGGGTTGGATTAAGTGAATTTAGTGAATCCACAAAAAGGAGGTACGGTGGATTAATGGATAGCGTCTCGGATTAAGGATTCGGAGAGCCGAGTTCGAATTCCAGTACATTCACTTACCTTGGGAAAGGTATAAATCTTCTTCTTCATCCCCAGCTATGGATAAATAGCAGGACAGACAGAGATCTATAGCCTTGGATGGCCTACTTGCTGAAAGAAATGGCAACCTGCTGCAGGAAAAAATCTGCCTCGTCAGTCATGTATAAGATACACGATCACCTAAGCGTGTATCACGTATGGCGCATAACTGAAATGTGAGAAGTCCAGACTTTGGCATCAGTTCTTTGATTTTGATTTTTCATATCTGTGAACTGTTAGTGGAAAAAAATTAAATAAATAAATGAACCAATTTTTTTTGTCTTATCATTGGCACACGGATATACTTTTCATAAATTATAAAATAGATAGATTGTAGTGAATAAAACAAGACCTAGATTTAAAATTCAAATGCTAAGCAATGACTCATTGATTTTGTTAGAAATTAAAAAGATTCGAATTTACAAACTTTGCTTAACACACACGCAAAAGCGAATTCAAAACAAAACTCCTTGATGCGAAATATCTTTCGGTCAACAGAAAACTAGGAAACATTTAAAAACAAAATTCAAATAATCTTCAATTCTGAGAAAAAAAATTCTTTTACGGACCTTTTCGCGAGCCGACGCGAAGTTTGTTAATTGTCCAATGGAAAGGCCCGAATCATATCCGGGAGTGAATTCCCAAATGACCTTTTCAAGTACAACAAACAGAATAAAAGACGGGCAAGTTCGCCTGTCACCAGAGAGGAAACGAGCGTATTAACACGTCCCTTGAAAAACGTAAAACGATCGTTATTATTATCTCTACCTTTCTTCCTCACCTCTTTTATACTTGATAAACGAACGGAACATTTTAAGACTGAGCGATTACTTCAAATACATTCCTACCCTACAATAACGCTCATACATACATTCACACATAGTTCCTGCCTACGTATACATAAACTCATTCTTGCAAGTACTTCTACAAATATTTTGACGACCTTGTATCAACCAAAATACATTAATTTTATTTGTAGAGACCTTAATTGATTTATATGGATATAAATTTGTTGTTTCACTTTGCAATTTGATTTTCTTGTTTTATACTCCTCTTATGGTGGCATATCTAACTAACAAGGCCAAATCAAACTAATCTGTTTCAACACTCATACACTTCACTATAACTGATAACCCACTATAGATAAAGAAATTGAAATAATACCAATGCTTTAAGGATATCACATGTTTTCTAATTTTTTTCAGGAAATATCGAACGGAAATTTAAAAGAAAATTGAAAATATATTTCAAGTGCAGAAACTTTATTTAAAGTCCAAAAATGGGCATTTTTTACAATTTACAAGTTTTCACGGCCGTAAAACAATGCAATGTTTTATTTTTTGTTTAGATAGTTAAGTTTTATTAAGCAAAATAGACTAAGAATTAAAAATATGATATACTGTTATACCATAATACCTATTCTATTGTAATAGACTCACCCACAGATAATAAGTAGTAGTAGTAGTAGCGGTCGCTAGTTGGGCTCAGTGGTGTTGAGTGAGTCTGTCGGATCATCCATCACAACTAGATTGCTGCGTCATTAACTCTTATTTCAAGTTCCTAACGTTTTGTACGTCGAACTAATTTAGGGCGACTTATTGAAATACAAGCCTCCACTGTGAAAACTACTCTACAACATATACATTTTTAAAACTTTTAAAAATGTATATCATTTTAAAACTTTTAAAAATGTATATCATACATTCCCGATTTAGAAAAAAATGAAACGAAATTTACAAATCGCAGCAATGCGACAATTTTGTAATCGCTCTATTTTCCTGTAGTCAATTTTGTGCACTTTTGGGAGAAGCTTTCTTGAAATCCCCAAAACTCTCTCGCTGATTGGTCAATGCCAACCAATCAGATTGATTCGGAGCCGATGATCTACCTATATAAGCAAGAAATATTCTTAGATAAGCAGTGAGATTTCTTAATTTTTCCGCATTTCCTTTTGCTTTTGTTCTTGAAATTTTTTAAACCAAAGACACTTTTTAATTGTACGTGCATGTAATAACGCGCGTAGAATCATCATAGCTGAATGCTGACTTTCTTTCCATAAAACTGACAACCATTTCAATAGTTTTTTCAATTTCAGTCCAGGTTTCATCACAATCATGTTTTTTATTTCCTTGTTCATTGTGACAGTGTGAACGCTGGAGAATAGTTTCTTTGGAAGATTTTATATCATACAATGTTGACTTTCCTATGTTGAAATCAGCCATTAGTTACAATGAACTTTCACCGACGTCTATTCTGTTTAAAATTTTCACTTTTTGCGATAACTCCAAAGTTGTCCTTTTCTTCTTATTCCCATCATCTTTTGCACCAATACAAGCCATTAGGGTGAAATAAACATAAGCAATTATCCAAAGTAAATTTCCAGAAAAACAGAAATTTCAGATCAGTTACATATCACCCAAATAGTTTAAATATACACATCAAAATCATGTCCGGATATGCGGCATGTCCGGATATGAGGGATGCTACTGTATATATTTTAGTCACATCTGAATTTTTACATACATATATATATATATATATATATATATATATATATATGCGTGTGTGTGTGTGTCCATAAAAATTCAGATGTATTATTAAAACTGAAAAAGTCGTTTATGGTGTTATAACTGGTCTCATTTGTTCCATGTTACTCGCCTTATTTTCTGGTCTCTGTCGATATAGGCTAATTATCAGCGGAAGTGTATGCATCATAAATTGTATCCTGTAAAGCAACACTCAGACGGCATCCATTTTTTTTTTTTTTCTTGGGGCATTTCGACTGTCCGTGTGAATATGATGCATTGTTAATGAGTTGTTTGTTTGACTCGTTGATCATCTCAGCGTGGAAGGATCAAATTTCTCTTCGTTATATCAAATAATAAATCAGCTTTGTCTGAAAGTCTCCCAAGAAGCATTACCATTATGTAATTCTCTCATGAAGCATTACCATTATTCTATGTATTATTCAAACCAATGTTTTTATAGATTCAATAACTACATTTCGACTTTCTCTCTCTCCCGCTCTCTCTGTATTTATCTATCGATCGATCGATCTAAGTCTGTTCATATGTATTTATGTATCTATCCGAGTCTATTCATGGCTATCTATCTATCTATCTATCTATCTATCTATCTATCTATCTATCTCTCTCTATATATATATATTTGAGTCTGTTCATATCTATCTATCTATCTATCTATCTATCTATCTATCTATCTATCTATCTGTGTCTGTTCCTATCTATATGAGTCTGTTCATATCTATCTATCTATCTATCTATCTATCTATCTATCTATCTGAGTCTGTTCATATCTATCTATCTATCTATTTGTGTCTTCATATCTATATGAGTCTGTTCATATCTATCTATCTATCTATCTATCTAACTGAGTCTGTTCATATCTATCTATCTATCTATTTATCTATCTGAGTCTGTTCATATCTATCTATCTATCTATCTATCTATCTATCTATCTATCTATCTGAGTCTGTTCACATCTATCTATCTATCTATCTATCTATCTGATATCAACAGTGCTGCAGTGAAAGTGTTAATTATTCAAACAAATATCATTTGTTCTTTTTGCTATAATGTTTCATACGATATATTTTCAGACCTTCCTCCGGATTCTCTGAAATTCAAAAATAAAACTTTGTTATTTCACCTGTTATTCGAACTAGTATCTCTGTCTTTGTCGTTTTGAACAATATCACATTTAGACCAACATATTCGCCTATATTTTATGGTCTATATTGCATATTGTATATTTTGGTTTTCAGCCTTTGACTATGTTCGCCGCTCTAAATAAAACAAAGATCCGAGTGTCAAAGATCTAGGCTGCTTTTAAAACCTTATAGTATGTTGCGGCTATCACCTCTTTGGTTTAGATGTGGATAGACATTTTATATTAAATATTTATGGGCTCATGGGATATTTATTCCGCAAACAATATTGGCGGACTCATGTGAGTACGGGTAAAAATACGCGACACAGAGCAATGAGTTTAAAACAAACGACAATGCATGTTATTAACAAAAGGAATCACATGTGTATACTATTGAAATGGAAGAAGAAAAAAATTAAAACTACTTATAAGAGTGTATTTGTTTGTGTGTGCATATGTGTGTGTGTGTAACAATCATGTGTGATAGACACGTGTGTTTATGTGTATGTTTGAAAGAGATCAAAAGTCAACAGAGGACCAAGGAAAACAATGCGGCCCATCTGCAGAAGCAAGAGTTAAAAAGAGAAAGAGGGAGAATGTGATTGTCTTTTTATAGACTTAAAGAGCGCCTCGTAACGAGCGCTTTCGACAGAGCCAAGTGGGGTGGCCCACAAATACAATAAGTACAAAGTTCTAAACAAATGGACAAAATGACCAGAAGCAAAAACATTATTTTTAGTACGTATGCTAACGCAATAGACTTGTCACCATCATGTTTCGAAAAATCAAATTTTCATTGTTGGACACTCGTATAAAGAACATATACAATAGTACTTAGTTAAAATATGAGAATATTCAAATTTATTAATTAAAATAGCCAACGTGTGAAGAATTCAGAGACATCTTGAAAAACACGCAAAAGTGGATCGATAGTCGAGCGTTAATACATCAGCAGTTGAGCTAGAGAAGTGAAAGCCATATTGCTTGTTAGAAAGAAGACTCTGCGAGGTGAGATGCCCAACCAATTCAGAGTTGATTAGAATATCTAGTACTTTGCTAAAAAGAGACAGAAGGACAATAGACCGATGGTTTGCTTGAGTTCATCGAGTGTGTATGTATGTGTGCGCGAACGATAAATGTACACATTTTACAAGTTGACAACTCATATAATGGTGTACAACTAATGAAACGGCATTCATCATGTCCGTGCGCATGCGCGTGTGTAGTAGATTCTCCATTCGATTTCGATGTGCGGGTCTAACAGTTCTGTTTTAAAACTGAACAACCAAACCGTCCACACTGATTTTCTTTTTTTTAGTCATTTCAACCCAAGCAAAGGCGATAAAGGCCGTAGGACATTAAGTCCTATTGAGTAAAAGATAGAGAAAACGCCAGTGGAAAAAATAGACTATAATGACTAATATTTTTGTTAGATTAGTTTTACTTGCGTTAACGCTAGGACAGACGAGATTGGAAGAACCTTTTAATTTGGCCTTAAGTTTCTTTCTTTTTTTTCTTTCTTACTTGCTGCATGGGTAAATTAATATATTACAAAAGACGGTTGTAACAACAAATTATGAAATCATGCAATGGCTTTCGAAGAATAATAACATAAACGAATGCCTGTCTATATTTCTGAGATGAGGCATTATGTACATTATTTACATTATTCGGACTATTGTCCTCATCTTTGTTGCCATATTTATTACAACGTTTCGGCCTTTCAGTATCTGTCTATATTTCTGAGATGAGGTATTATGTACACTTTACATTATTCGGACTATTGTCCTCATCTTTGTTGCCATATTTATCACAACGTTGCGGCCTTTCAGTATCAGTCTATATTTCTGAGATGAGTTATTGTGTACACTATTTACATTATTCGGACTATTGTCCTCATCTTTGTCGCCATATTTATTACAACGTTTCGACCTTTCAGTATCTGTCTATATTTCTGAGATGAGGTATTATGTACACTTTACATTATTTGGACTATTGTCCTCATCTTTGTTGCTATATCTATCACAATGTTTCGGCCTTTCAGTATCTGCCTATATTTCTGAGATGAGGTAATATGTAAACTATTTACGTTATTCGAACTATTGTCCTCATCTTTGTTGCCATATTTATTACAACGTTTCGGCCGTTGTACGCTCCTGAGCCGACCAAGCATAGAAATGAATACAATATGGGAACCAATAATAAGGAGTGCCATAGAAAAACGATAATAACAACAAAAATTGCAATATGTGCTCTGGCAAAAACATGCAATGATAACAGCAAAAATTTCAATATGAGTACTGGTAAAAATGATGGTGAAGACATTAGATTTATAATACCCAGAAATTCATGCACAGATGTCCTCAAGGACACATGGCATAGTAGATAAAGGCGTTAGTTAGATCCAGTGACAGGACCCAAAGAGTGTGTGTTCAATACTCGGTTAAGGCAGTGCAGAACTTGGAGAGGGGAATTAACAGGAGATAACTGATAATTGACATCTATTAAAACATGGCACGTGGAACTAGAACAGTCTACCCCAGTGAGCGAAATAAAGGGTTCAGTTCGACATTCCAGCCACTCAACAGCCGAAACGTTGTAATAAATATGGCGACAAAGATCTGGACAATAGTCCGAATAATGTAAATAGTATAAATGAATGCCATTTGCATATTTTCCCAAGATTCTAGACAGATTAGCTTGTAATGAAAATAATTAAATTACTTATTACTCGCCAACTATAAACTCGGCCATTAATAATCCAAACATTCGAGGAATAGATGGATTTTCCTGGCAAATAACTTGGTGATTGTGCACGAAGTTGATAATAAAATTATTGCTCACTCATTGATGTCTACAAAAGGCTTCTTCTACATTTTTACAGCGTTTATAGTTTTCTCAATGGACGAACTCACAGAGCCATAAACAATAGACAGCATTCAAAAACAATTCCTTTCGCTTCAAAAAATCTGAAGAGACTGGCCTATACTGGCTGGTTCTATAGATCGTCCGTTAGTAGAATATAAGAGTGTTGGTTAAAAACAATAGGTTCCACTGAAAGTGCCTTTTAGTACATGGCAAGTCAAAATTAGATTCTAGGAAATCTGAAAGTATCGTACATACATATATATATATTAAGGTGTACAGCTTATATTTTATATCATAAAGAAACAATTTATGCAAGGAATTAAATAGCAATGTTACTGTGATTAATGTAGTCAAGGAATTGATAGTAAGTTAATGTCTCATTAAGTCTCGTTAGCGAAGTGATTTCGCCATTAATCACATTAACATTGCTAATTAAATCTTTGTATAAATTGTTTCTTTATGATATATATATATATATATATATATATATATATATATATATATATATATATATATATCGGGTTTAACATATCAGGTGTAACAGCAAAATTGTCCAAATCGTGTAACAGCAAAATTGTTCAATTGTTAGATGAAGATTTGAACCGTTGTAACTGAGGAATGATTAAAGATATCTTACTGGAATTCTCCGAGCTTTTTATAACACTATTGGACTCTTTTTTGAACAATACGAATCTATTTAGCTTTAAGTTGAAATGATGATCCCTCTTGGTGCTGTGAACTCCTGAACCAGTTTTCCTCTCTACTGTTCACTCTTTTTTAAAATCATTCACCGTTCTCTTGATCGTTCTTGAATAGACTTTGAAATGAAACCAAGGTTACTGAAGGCCTGAATGATTTTTTTCCTCTCAGCATTGCTCATTTGGGAAGACAGTGGAGCTGACACAAAATGAGTTTAACATGTTTTCTTTTTAGCTGAATATCTCAAAGGTTTTTTTTAGTGATTCTAACAATAAATGGTGTCAAGATAGCCAAATGTCTTATCTGAAAACAAGGAAAAAATAAACTCAGTTTAGTGTTTTTAGTTTTTTTTTTTTAGACATTATACATTTTGTGTGATGGATAGTTATTTTGCTGTTACAACCGTCATATATATATATATATATATATATATATATATATATATGACGGTTGTAATATATATATATATATATATATATATATATATATATGACGGTTATAACATATATATATATATATATGAACAAGAATTTAATACCACAGAACATAAATACCAATTTAAAAAGCGCACGAAGGCATTTTTTGCTTTAATGAACCATACGGCCAACGCTTCGTTGGGAGGAAAGTGTTGGCGTAGATTATGACGAAAAAAAAAAGACAATTCACACAGTAATAAAAAAAAAGATGTTCCAGGGGGAAAATTGTGAAACACAATTAAAATATATTTATTTGTAAAGTAATTTACGAATAAAAAATTAAATAGTTCGAAATAAATATAAAATGGAAAAATGGTACTCACGAACCGCCTAAAAGATTGAGGGAGCGAATGAAATGCGCCTTCTGTTTGCACAGAGACGATTGATGTAACTTAATATGGACCGCTTCAAGGTGATGTAAATAATGAGCAAACCGAGCTCTGTGGAAAACTGGCATAGAATTGTTCACATATTTATTTGTACAGTCTGGGTTGTCAAGTAAGTGCTGGTCAATGGCTGAATCATGCGCAAACTGAGTTACCCTCAAAGACTGACTCGAACCACTTAGTCTTATACTGGTAGGAACGTGCTGATTGAGTCGGTTTTCCAGTTGCTGATTGGTTCATCCTACATATTCAGCTTCACACTGACATTTGAATTTCTACACGATTGAACTCCACAATGTATCCTCCTCACCGCCCTTTCATTACTCTGTGAATTCCGCAAAGTTTTTTTTAAACTCTTTCCTTCCAGTGAAGTGTTGACTGAATTTTTCTAAAGAAAAATGCCTTCGTACGTTTTTAAAATAGTATATATATATATATATATATATTAAGCGTTTCACCCCAAGCAAGGCGAGAAGCCACTAGCACGCAAGGGGTTACAGAGAGTATGAGCGAGAGCAAATACGAGTGATAGAGGAAAGGATGAAGAGAAGAATAGGGGATAGATCAAGGCATCTGGAGTCGATTGGCATTACATTTGAATAGTTGGAGG